GCAGCAGTGGCAGCAGCAGTAGTAGCGGGAATCCTGCAACGCCTCCTCTTCATGAGGCATGCGGGAGATCCAATTTCGGTTCGTCATGTCTTACATCTCCAATGGTCTCTATAGAGCTGCTTGGCTCACAGGCTCTCCCTTTCTAGGCCGTCAGAGCTTTTCAGCCCTTAGTCCCTGATCTTGGGGTTCCTTCCAGGTCACTATACATGGGTGGTTGTCAAAATTATGGTCCCTTTTTGGGTCCTTGTTATAATACGGCACCTAATATTTAGGGTACCCAAAAAGGGACCATAATTTTGACAACCACCCACATGTTCAGCAGTAGAAGCCGGAAGGTTGGAACATCATTGAGGTAATCCTAGCACTCATCTTCCCGAAGCCATGCTTTCCGAACCCTAAACCCTAAACCCTAAACCCTAAACCCTAAACTCTAAACCCTAAAGCCTAGACCCTTCCATAAAGCCTCGCTGAGGGCTCTATCAGTCTATCAGGGGTTCCCCAAAAGCCGTAGGAGCCGAGATCCCAGAACCAAAGGTTCGGCGGCTTTCTAGGATTTAGGGTTGGGGGCTTAGGGTTTAGGGTTCAGGGTTTCGGCTTTGGGTATTAGGGTGTGGGGTTTAGGGTTTAGGGTTTAGGATGATTTAGGGTTTGAGGTTTAAGGTCTATTTCAGAGGTTACAAAGGGTGGGATGAAGCTAGGTAGGATTAAGGATTCCGGTTTTTAGGGACTCCTATTTCGGATTACCCCACCTACCTTCATCCTGCCTTTGGATCCATTGGAAAGGTTGAGGCTTGCCCACTGGCTTAGGCTTCCCATGAGGGGTGAAGGAACGGTTCCAAAAGGGTTACTAGGGTTGAGCGTTGCGTTTTATAGGTTTTAGGCTTTATGAGTTTAGGGGGTACCATGTAAGCGTTTTGTAGTTCGATCGTTCAGGGGCTTTAGGCTTGAATTGGTGTCGGGTTGTCTTCTTGCGCCATGTCATGACCCAGGCCATTCTTGTCTATACGCTGCCCCTGTGGCTTTGCCGTGGCAGTCTTGTGGACTTTGTTTTGAATGCCTTCGCCCTTGTCTACATCGTCGAGCTGGACATGAATCTTTGCTTCTTAGAATCAGGGCTACCTGCTTCGAGGCTTCTTTTGTTGAGGATCATGCGCTATTTAGCGTTTATACCAAACAAGGTTCAAGTCGGGGGGTTATAGTTAAGGCGTTTCCAAAAAGGGGTTGCTCGTCTTTGTAAAGCCTAGATCCTCCCCGGCGGGCGTTCAGAACTCACCGTTCTCCAAGCGCTCCCCCGAAGCTCAGCTTCAAGCACCCCCCACACTCCGAGCCTCAAGAGCCCTCAAGAGCCCTAAACCCTGAACCTTGAACCCTAAACCCTGAACCCCAAACCCAAACCCTAAACCCCAAACCTTTTCCAAACCCCAAACCCTAAACCCTGAACCCTAAACCCTAAACCCTGAACCTTGAACCCTGAACCCTAAACCCAAACTCCGCGCCTTTTGGAGCCCCGAAGCCCCAAGCTTTCAGGGAGCTGCCCTGAGCCCTAAATCCCTAGTGTAGGATCCTGATCAAGAAACCCTGGGTTTGGGGTTTAGGGTTTGGGGTTTGGGGATTGGGGTTTACGGTTTGGGGTTAAGGGTTTAGGGTCAAGGGTTAAGGGTTTGGGGTTCAGGGTGTAGGGCTTTGGGTTTGGGGTGTAGGGTCCTATAACACGAAATATTAGGATCTGGCAAGAGAGCCCGAAAAAAGACCCGTGGTTGCTGCCCTTTTTTTAACCTCCGAGCCCTGAGATGTCTGAACCCTAAACCCTAAACCCTAGACCCTAGACCCTAAACCCTAAACCCTAAACCGTGCTGAGCCTTGGACACTTGACGGAGTAAGGAAAGATTCACCGGAAAAGTGGGAGGCCGGACAGGGGTTGTGCAGGGTTTTAGGGTTTAGGGTTTAGTTTGTAGGGTTTAGGGTTTAGGGTTTTAGGGTTTTAGGGTTTAGGGTTTAGGGTTTAGGGGTTTAGGGCTCAAGGGTTTCTGGAGTTTAGGATATGGGAGTGTTGGGGTTGAAAGGTTTAAGGCAGAGAGCAGACTGAAAGACGAGCAGTAGCATGCCTATCTTCCTTTCCACTCCTGAAGCTTCAACCCTAGCCACCACCGTTTAGGGGTTAGGGGTTTAGGGGTTTGGGTTCAGGGTTTTAGGGTTTAGGGTTCAGGAGTTCAGGGTATAAGATTTAGGGTCTAGGGTTCTAGGGGTTAGGGACAGAGCGCGAATGGAACCCAGAAACACCAGAAAGGACTGGTAGAGCACATAAGAGCTAAATGCCGAAGATTGAAGTCCTACCCCACTGCGTACCCTCGAAAGACTTACATGGGAGTTTCCGAAAATTAGGGGTACCTTATTTTGGGGTCCTAATGATAAGGATCCTATTATTTAGGGTACTATATTAGGGTCCCCTATTCTCTGAAACCCCCACATCCCTAAACCCTAAACCCTGGAAGCACCAACAGCGTAATCTCCGAAATTCTCGGAGCAGCCAGGTCATTCAACAAGACAGCGATTCCGAAGAGGGCTCGCCCCAGAGGGTCGTTAGGGGTTTTGGGGATTTAGGTGCTTAGGGCTTAGGGGTTTAGGGTTTGTAGGGTTTAGGGTTCGGGTTCAGGGTTTAGGGCTTAGGTGTAGTGTTTAGGGTTTAGGGCTTTAGCACACGGGTTTGGCTCCAGCAGGCGTGGCCAAAGCTAGCCCTCGGCAGACCATAGACGTCTGCTACTGGGCAAATGCATGAGGATCTGCCGTTTTAGTTTCCTGTACCTAAACACCCAAAAAGTCGGTAATTTAACATACGTACTTGTTGGGGTCCAGGTAAGAAGGATTTGAGGACTGCACCTCGAACAACTTGTGCAGTTCTCTCCTGTGTTCCAGGCCTTTAGTCACAAAAACTTGGCCGACAGGAGGCTACATCTTCTCAATACCTGCTGAGATATCATTACCCATAGGCCCTTTAGCAGTTCTTTTTTGGGATTACCTAATAGGATCCTATATAGAAGCCGCAAAAAGGAGCTACTATGGGGCCTATGGGTATTCATGATACTGACAATGCAAACGGTAATCATACGAGTCGTAACAGTACTGATAGCAAGAATAAGACTCGATTGGTATGTGTAAACCCAGCTCCTAAGCAGGAGGCGAAGCTCCAGAATAAATCTCGCGGGCCTTGAAGATGTGGGTAGTTCTCTAAATTAGGGTCCCTTTTAGGGTCCTTTTTATAAGGGTGCCGTACCATATTGGGGATCCCAAAAAGGACCCTAATTTAGAGAACTACCCATGTGTCGACAATTTTTCCGCCGATGCCCTCGTCGATGTCAGCCAACATCCTGCTCCTGCGCATAGGGCTGATCGAAGGGCCGTTCCAAGCCCTATTCTGGCCTTGCCGCCTCTGACCTACAGGGGGTTTCTTCAAAGAAGGGGGTCCTTTCTTGAAAACTCCCTAAACCCTAAACCCTAAACTCCCCTAAGCCCTAAACCCCCCTAATCATAAGGTGGATCCTTCATGTAGGCTTCTCTATCTGGGCCCCTTGTTTTCTGTACCCCGCCTCGCGGCTTCGCCCTAATTCTTTGTCTGGGGCTGTGGTATTCAGTTAGAGGACTATTAGAGGAGTGCAGCCCTGACTTGGCACTTCCGGCGACGTGTGCTTCTTGCACTGCTGCTGCTTGAGGGTTCATGCGACGCTGCAAAGCCTTCTTCAGGTCGTCAGGCAATGCAGGAATGCAACAGTGCTCGATGTTTAGGCCCGAAGAGGACAGCGCTTGACTGGCTTGGGCATGTCATGGCATATACCCATAGGCCCCATAGTAGTTCCTTTTCGTGGCTTCTATTTAGGATCCTATTAGGTAATCCCCAAAAGGAAGTACTAAAGGGCCTATGGATATTCACCATGTCTTCGGTTTCTAGGTAGGGGATACACATTGGGGCCTACAATTACCCAGGCCCAGCACTAGCATCAATCTACGAGACGTTTTGTTTTTAGCCTATAGTCGAGGGCTATATAGCCTGATCGAACACCCTAAACCCTAAACCCTAAACCCTGAACCCTGAACCCTAAACCCCAAAACCCAAAACCCAAAACCCTAAACCCTAAACCCTAAACCCGAACCCTTTCTCTTTACAGAAACCCAATTATCGACCCGGGAAGCCACGCGAACCTTCAAGCGGAGCCGGCTGGTTCCAGCATTCGCAGACCTTTTTCAAGAGAAACTACAAGGGCCCACCGGCCCATTCCCGTGGTGCTGTAGCATCAGGCTTGTGGTGACGACCGTTTCCGTCCGTCATGTTTTTTACAGCTCAATACTTGCAGGGATCACCCATCTTCTCATGGTGCCTTTACTGGTGTTTGTTCCTCTTCCCCGTCCACTTCTTCTGCTCCTTCTTCTTCAACCAAACCCTGAACCTTAGAGCCAAAGCCACAAAACCCTACAGCATTTGCTCTTCTTGGCGCCGATGACAGCGTCATCACAAGCCATCGCTCAGGGATGCCCCAAGAGTGGTGCTTCCGAGGCTTTCCAGTGTCCCCTAAACCCGAAGCCTCTTTCCACTATGTGCGTTTAGGGTTTAGGGTTTAGGGTTTAGGGTTTAGGGTTTCTCTAAACTAGGGTCCCGTTAGGGTCCTTTTTATGAGGCTGCCGGACTATATCGGGGGACCTAAAATGGGACCCTGATTTAAATAACTGTCCATGTAGTGTAGCCTTTTAGGATTTCGGGGTTTGGGGCTTTTACTGGTGACAGGCAAACCGTATCTTCGTAAAAAGGGGCACTCTGCCTGAGGCTGTATAGGATTCAGGCTTTTGAGTACAGGCCTTGGCCTTGGCATGCTCCTAGGCTCCACGGTTTAGGGTTTAGGTCAGGGCGGAGAGCCAAAATGCACCAAAGCCTCAAATCCAAACACGCTGTAAGCAAGGGCTCAACCCCAAAACCTGCAGTCATACCCTAGGCCGCCTAAGCCCTGAACCCTAGACCCCGTAAGGGGCCTGCATCTGCATAATCGGCAGTATATCTGGCCCTATGGGGTCCCCAATGTAGCCACTGCACAGCCCTAAACCCTAAACCCTAAGCCAAGCATACGGCTTCGGGACCCGGTGGCCGACCGTTTAGGGTTTGGGCAGAGGGTTCGGGGTCAGGTGGCATTCGGGGTTCGGCTAGGGGGCTCGGATTTATTCAGGGTTTGGCATTTATTTCCTAGCAACCCAAAACCCAAAACCACCCAAAAAGGCCCACAAAACCGGGACTTCCGCTAGTTTGGATACTTCTGGTTTCAACCGGGGGACACCGCCTTTGATGAAGGTGCGTGCCACCTTCTGTTTTTTGTTCGCAATAAACTGGATAGGTCCACGAGTCTGGTACCTACCAGGGCAAACTCTTAGCTTTGCCGCAGCTGGGAGCCACTGTACGTGCAAGCCAGCATTGGGAAACACATTAACATGAGATTCAACACGCTGTTGCGCGAAGACATCTTCTGTTCCAAGTCAGCAGCACCTTTGGGTTACGGAGAATCCGGACTTCAATGTAGTATAGGGGCAATATTGAATAATCAGAAGAAGCAGTGGGGTGTACAGAAAATGTCTTGAAGTCTGTTGCAAACATCCAAGCCCCAAGCCCCAAATTATAGTTGGGACGGATCCTTACTCAAACAAGAGACCGACTCCAATAGAGACGCTTAGTAGCAGGATCCACAGGGCTGATCATAAAGATCCCTCAAGGCATCCTTGCTTTCAATACTCGATCCCTTTTTAACCGTAAACCCCAAAACCCATTTGGGGTTCAGTGCTTCGGTTTCAGTCCAGGATGCATAATGTAGGGGCCTTAACAAATTAGAATGGGGTTTGGGGTATATTCTACCGTAATTATAATAAGGGAACCCCCAAAACCCTATTCATATTAATACGGCCCCTCCATTAATGTGGACCGTCGACCCTGGTTAATGAAGAACGCTGCCTTGTCTGAACCCAAAAGTATGAGGATATTCCGAATAAAGGCAGGGCGGTTTATTACCATCATCAGGGGTGTACCACTTACTATGTCGAGTTTAGGAAGTTGGCTGCGCAGGTCGGCAGTGCATGGTCTATAGGGTTTAAGGTTCATGAGGGCCTAAACCCTAAACCCTGAATCCTAAACTCCATGAGGGTTTAGGGTTTAGGGTGCAATGCTGTATGG